GAGAACAGGAAATGGAGAAGCAGTGGCAAAACTGCACAGCAAGTCATCTTAGAGGAAAGCGTGGCAGGGCAAATCAAACAGCTCCATTAACTATGTGATGGAGAAAGATCTAAGGAGGTGGATTCAGAAGAGGAGTGATTCATGAAGAGACTCAGGCACACTTTGTAAACTGCAAGTGTGAGCTGCCTGACTGAAGGGCTGCTCAGAAGCAAACACTTGAAAACAAGATGCCTGGGGAAGCTGTGACAGTAAAGGGAGAGAGAAGAGACAAAATGACTCGGGAAGAGATCAGGAAAGCTTTACGAAAGTGGTTTCTTCTTCCCTAAGAAAAACAATGTTTGTCGAGTCTATGGGGAAAAAACCAAAACTTTTCAGCTCCGTGTCCCATTTTGAACTTAGGCAGAAAAGCTTTAAGGCTGTTAAGACTTTGCTGTACTTAACTGTGCTCAGTCATAGCAGTAAGACCTTTTCCACAGACAAGAGGGGTCTGAAGAGCCATGCAGACCTACCTCTGCAGGTTTCAGCCTGGGAAAAGGTCCTAATCATATCTTGAACAATGGCATTTTCCAACACGAACCTATTACTCCCTGAAACTTTGAGTCTGACTGGCAGGAACCCAAATGAGACATTAAACCATACAACTCTATTATCAGAGGCTTCAAAAGTCACGCCCTGAATCAAGCCTCCCTTGTTCAGTGGACTAACCATTTACCATCATGCAAAAAATTCTTCCATTAAAGCAAGTGCTACTTAACATGAAGTACTTAGGGTCTGCTTGGTCTCTTAAATGCAGTAAGGGCAATAATTAGTAAAGGAAAAACAGTACCATTCAAGATTTCACTGTTCAGGGACCACAGATCAGAACCCCCTGGCCTGCCATTAAGCAATCCTCACAGGCTTAGTTACTGAAGCTGCTATACAAATCCTCCATGGTCCCCAAGTATGCTGTAGCTCAGTTACACAAAACTCATGATACGCTGAGCTCTTTTGGGCCACTCATCCCTTAAACTCCCGGACTTCTGGCTCATGATAGAAATACTCCTTTACAATCACTACAACTTTCTCCAAATATCACATTGCCAACTGGCTCTAGCACCATTTTTCAGATTCTGTGGCACTGATAGAAAAGCCAACAAGAAGAAAAATATCAGTAACTCTAGAAGAACTGCTGTGCAGTCTCCAGAGAACGTTTTACAGCACAGCCAGTAAGCCTGGAAAAGTACCACAGCAGGTTTGGCCTCTAATACTGCAGAAGCCACACATCCACAGAAAAAGGAGAAATGGTACTGCAAAGTTCAAGCCTCCTATGATGCTATATTAACAACACCCTGAAATTTATAACACACCTACCTGAAGCAGTTGCCTTTACTGTCTTCTTATTTCAAGCCTACACACTGTTTGTTGTACTGTTAGAAGCTACCTTGTACAGAGTTCTTGAGAAGATGGATGACAAATACAGGAGGAAGGGATAACTATCAGGATAGCTTCTTTACATCTTGGAAATTCTGAGGACTGCTCATACTCCTTTTTCCCTCAGAAATCTACTCATCAGCTTTTGCACAGTACAAAGATCAGTGAAGGAATATGGGGGAAAGGGGAGAGAGAAAAAGAGAGAGAGAACACACAGTATTACGGTATTCCAGTCTCAGCCTTTCCAGCCTCAGTTTCTAAATATGAAAAGCAGTAACAGCTGAAGTACAAAACAAATCTGTTTTGGATGCAACACTGTGGAAAATAAAGCACCAGTCAGAATGAAAAACTGCCTTTAGCTCACATAACACTCAACATACCCCAATTTGTGTCCCAAAGAAGCCCAGCCCTAGTTTTTCAAAATAGCCTAAAATGAATCCCAGCTAGACATGAGCCACTAGATAGCATCTTTAGCATTCAATCTGGAGAGCACTGAGAGCAGCTGGTGCAGAGCAGGATGTCTCTAAACTAATCTCTTAACTGCTATCAAGTCCAGAGTGCTCCTACTGTCATCTGCAGGCACAAAAATGAAACAATTCAGGAAATTAGTCTTACTCCTTTTTCTCCCCCCTCTCAAGCCTGAGAGCTAACAACCCTAATAAGAAAAGGCAAAAAAAAGGGAAAAGAAAAAAAGACAAAACCATTTTTCATATAAGTAATTAAACTGGTACATCTGACTTTAGGCAGAGATTACAGTGAAACATCCAAAGAGCTGGATCTCTTTAAAGTTTCTATTTTGTTGCTAGTTTGAACAAACAAATTATAACCTATTTTTGCAGCACACAGTCTGACATATGGGTGCTAAACAGTGAGACTTCCATGGTTGGGGCTAATTAAAGGTAATGTCCTACTCAGGCACACATGCACCACAATCAAGCACTTTCCTTTCTTTGCATGTAAAAACACAAAATCAGTCAGCTAGATTTTTAGCCATTTTGCTCTGTTTTGCCAAGCCTATTTTGTCACTCTTCAAATTATTAAGATGGAGCTGCCACAAAATCATTCAGAGCTAATTACCTACTTGAAAAATATACCTATAGGCAGGTGTAATTTTTAAAAGTAGAGGCAAGAATGGATTTCTCCTGGCATTATTTTAAGTGCTGTAGAGTTTGTGCCACAGAAGCGACTCTTGTATTTACAAGAAATCTTTTAATACGTTTCTTCAAGAAACATATTTCTTCAAGAAATATATGTTGTTTGCTTTGTTGTTTTTTGTTGTGTTTTTTTAAAGGAATATTACTTGGAATCAAAACAGCACAAGAAAATCTTAGACACATGTAAAGCACTGATATAAATGACAGAAATATCATTTTTCGGCTCAGAAGATATGCCTGTCACAATCAGATACTCTACATTTATGTCTATAAAGATAAAAGCTGAGGATCAAAGTGCTCAAGTTGAACAAGTTATAACACATCACCTGAACCCCAGCAAATACAAAGCAAAATCACTTCGCTTCACCTCACTCCACTGTGAACTGCAACAGATAAATGACCCTACATTTGCAGTGAGCTGCCTGCAGTTAAGATTGCTACTACTACATGCTGGCCTGTTAAATATCAGTGACAGGGTGAGGAGTCTGGTCCTCAAGTCACTGACCCGAATAGACAAAATCAGCCGAAATACATCTTTGACAGGCTAGATTACTTGCAGATCAAGGGCTGCTGAAGCCATGAAGGAAGAATACCTTCTGACATATCAGACCATCCTTGCAAGAGACTGTTGCATGGCAGTTTTAACAGTAACACATGCAAAGAAGTCAGAAGATAGATCCATCAAGGACAAAAATATCAAGAGTTAATACTCAGAGGCTTCCTTATGAAAATTTATGAAAGTTGCTCATTTCCTCTAATCCACTGCTAACACTGGGCTCAGAGAGTTATCAAGATGGTATCTACATAAATAAAACAGAAGTTTTCCCCGTTAATAGCTCTGCAGACATATCAGCCATTCTTTGGTTTTCTCAAATGGTTACATTAAATAAATTTCCTATGCTAACAATTCTTTGATACTGCAATGAAAATCAGAGCAAATACTGTGCTGATTTTTAACATTATTTTAGACAGTCTATACTGGACACCACCCTAAGTTAAATTATCAGTGAAGGATATTCATAAGTACGTACGTCATAAGTTCTAGTCATGTTTCTTTTGCCTCTTGGCAATGAACTTCTGCTTTTCCTTCACAATCATGGAAAAACTGAGCTGGTTCCCTCTGTAAAGGACAGTGCCTTTCTCTCAGAGGAACACCGTCAGTGTGAGACTTTCCCCTAAAAAGACACAGGCAACTCCTGTGCATTGCTACATTCCAGGGCGCTCTTTATTCAATTAGTCCTGCCCTCTGACTCTATAGCCATATATCCACAAGCAAAGCCACCTCTCCTTCTCCCTCTAGTAACCCTTTCAATTTGTTTTTTAAAAATGGTCACTGGTTTTCCCTATGGTTATGGGCAATTTCTTTAACAGAACTTACTCAAAACACTTTCTCCAGTCAGGTAACTCCTTACTCTGTAAGTATTTTCACTGATGTCAGTAAGACACACTCAGCACAAGAAAAGCATCAATGCTCAACTTCATGCTGTTTTAAATATGCAGCAGCTTCCCAAAGTGAGTTTTGTGCCTCTGAGCACAGATGCCACAGAGGTGAAATCCAGTATGTGTTATCAATCATGAGTGTCTCAAGTGTCTTGTGCAAACTTGTCCCCTTTAGAAAACAGCTAGGATGCACTAATCAATAACTGTACAAAACTGTGAATTTCTTCACTTTGTGTATGGCTGAAATATTCCGTTTAGCAGTGAGTAAAAAAGGAAAAGACCAGAGAATCTTTGAGTACACAAGGTGCATCAAAAGAGAGATTAGCAAAACTTAGCAGGTCTGTGATTTCATTTTGTGAGTTTTCATTTCATTTGTGAGTTTTCTGACAGGTATAAACAAAAGTGACATCAACGCTGAACCTCTACTGTAAAATGCAGACTAGTTAAGAAATTCTTAGCAACTACTTCCTTCTTTCATGCTCCAGCAAAACCACTTTAAATATTCTAGTGACACAAATTAAAAGCATGAAATATTTAACTTTGCAGAGACCCCAGGTTCCTGTGACTGCAGCTACCGCCTTCGGATAGCAATCCCCAGTCCCATTTGAAATCTGCCAGTGCTTTAGATATCAACTTGCCTCTGGATTGCACCTGCTATCCCCATAACACTTCAGCAGAAAGCACTCATGCCACTAACATGTCATGTAATTTCTCACCTCTTTACTAACAGACTTTCTAATGCGCCTACCTGTAGAGGCCCAAGCAAGTTGGTTCAAAACAGATTGGTTCTAGTTTCACCAGTAAAACCTGCAGAAAAACAATGTCTTTCACTGCCACCTTACTTCCAACAGCAGGCTCACATCCCTCAGAGTGCAGAAAACTGAGCTGAAGCCTAGACAAATAACAGTGCAACGAACAGCCCTTACAAAAACAGTAACGCTGATGCAAACAGGCGCATCCTGTTTCAGCTGGTTTCCAACAGTTCCCTAATTAACTGTTTACATTGTTACCTTTCCTCATTTTTGCTTGTCCTGTTTCAAACTTCTTGGGATTTACGTTCCAAGAGTGAAGAACAAGTCAATTAAAAATTACTTTCAGTGGTTCACTAGAAGATTATTTTTTTTTATTTATACACATTGTAACAGAGAAATACACAAAACACACATTTTTTTTTATGATTATAAACAACATGTATTCTGCCTGTTCACATGATTAATTACAAATTATTTCCCTTCTCTTCAGTCTGGGTCACTTTGAAGTTCTACCTTTTCAGGAGCGGTTGTTAAACAGTAAAATCATTCAGGTGAGAAATTCAGGTAAAATGCAAATCATGGAACAAAACACTGTACTTAAGACAAACAGCAAAACAGGTATAAACAAGTACTATGGCTTTTCATTAATAGCTATAGAGGTCTAAATGCAACTCCAATGGTCAAATGTTCATTGTATATTTTCCTTAGATTGCATGATTTTAAAGGCAGAAATGTAAGGTTACAGGACTGCCACTTAACACAAGAAGGTAGCCTTTTCCTGTGCAACTGATGACATACCTAAAACTACAGGGAGTGTTGATCATAAGACTTTCAGGTTTAATTGCCTGTAACAACAAGCAATAACCACAGTAGGAAGTCAGCTAATGAACTTGCCACAAATGTAACAATTGCTACCTAGACAAAATTATGAGGGTGTTTTAAATAACAGTATCCTTCCTTCCTGCAATACTTACATTTTCTTCTGCTGCAAAAAGTTACAGATGTTTTTTTCATCTCCAGTCTCTAAAATTTTCACAGAATTAAAGGTTTGATCCCACACCCACTGATGTCAGAGGGAGAGACAAAGCAGGCTACAAAGACAGGAAAATATCCAGGTCCTAAAAGGTCTGGTCTGACTAACTTACTGTTTGGCTTCAGCAGTTTTTAATGACACCAAGAAGAGAAGAACAGAGACTCCCTAAGCTGGAGACTTGGCAGGTATCGTAAGCAAAGACAAGGATGGGTTTTGTGTAGTCTTCATTCTCTGTGTACTTATCATCCTAAAGCCTATTCACACATTTCAACCTATCTATGCTCCTATTAAAAACCAGAACTTGAAATTCTTTCTTAAAAATGAAAATAAAACCAACCCACCAAACTGTAAAATCCTAAATCTCTTCATCCTGTCTTCTGTTACCTACAAAGTTTGTTTGTTGTCCCTACTTACTTGGATACATGACCTATACAGCCATAAAACCAAATTTAGGTGTTGGATATACATATATATATATGTGTGTGTGTGTGTATTACATACATAGGAAAGTTTGCATGTTTGTAAATGTTTCTCACCCACAGACGTTTATACAAATACCTATTTCTGAGCAGAAAATTATCTATAGATGTCTCACTTATTGGCTTTCTCTGTGTCCTTAGCCAAAAAATAATGTAGGTTCCCAGACCTTAAGCAACTCTGTCATTAGTACATCAAGTTCAAAGAGGAAAGCAGCCAACAGGTCTAAATAAATAAATAAATAAATAACCCATAATATTCACATTGCATCAGAAAGAACACATACCCTTTCCACAGCAAGATCATTGTTGATCACACTTTTACAATCACCAACCGCCATACACTTCATACCACTCTGTAAAACCAAACTTATGTTTAAAACATACCTATCAAATTCAGGACGTCAGCCTCATTCAACTGCCCCAAAAGAGACAGCTGATTAAAAAAGCATCTGGCATGTCAATCTAAGGAACCCACAAGTCCATATGCAGCACAAGTTCATACACTGGTGGTGCATATGTTAAGAAACAGAACTAAGGGATGCACTGAACACTCTGGCCAGTACCACAGCACTTTCTTGATGAGGCTCACAAGTCTCTTCCTCTGCAGGGAGTCCCAGACTTGGTTCTGTCCATCCATGGCTATTCATCCCTTCTACCAGCAATCACTTCAGACAAAACTAGAGCCACTGAAGAAGAGGAAAGCCTGTAGATTCTAATACAAGCGGTGACCCGTACTGAAAAATCAACAAAATAACCCCAAAACCTAAGGAACTACTGTGATGTTTGTGCTTATGCTTTTTCTTGCAATATTCTAAAAGGACTGGATCTCACACCAGTCAATAGCTACATACAGCTTTTTATGTCACACTCCTATGAACCATGTTGCATTTTTTCCCCCATGATGCAAGCCACCAGAAATAGACATGGGAATCCAAAAATATTAAGACTGGTTTTCTTGTCTTAAAAAGGGAGGAAGGACAACAGAAAGAGAAAAAAAAAATAAAATCATACAGTGCAATCCATTTAATTACACTTAGAATTGTCTGGGGGGAGGAAGAAAGAATCACTGGAACAAATTAAGTATCTAAAACAAAATCCAGAGTTGTGCAGGACACCAAAATAAAAACATACAAATACAGAACTATCCCAAAGCCAGAGCACAGGATGTGTGTTTACTTTATATAGAAACCATCACTGCACACAGTAGACATTGATACCTATTAATTAGACATGAGGATACAGTTTTTCCCTTCTATGTGATCTACAGTCACTCAGAAGAAAAAAACACCTAAGGAATTTGACTGGCTTACAGATGCTGTTGCTCCTTGCTTGGTTTCAAATGGTTTGCTTTTCCTTCATCAAGAAAACATCCCATAGTCAAATACATACTGCTACAATGTGTTTTTATTTGGACTCCAGGAAACTCACTGTTTTTCTTGAATATTTTGGTTTTCACTAACTATAAAGTCAAAGAAAATCTGAAACCACAACCTGAAAAACAAATATTCAGGACATACCTAAAAATATCTGTGAAGAAGGTAACTTAAATTGTGAATAGAAATCTTTCCAGATGAGTATTTTCTTCACAAAATAGAAATGAGCATCTGTGATTTCACTGTTGGGTTTTTGTTTGTTTGTTTGGGGGCTTTTGGGTGTTGTTTGTTTGTTTGTTTTATAATTATAAATTTAAGCAGTGAGAATATAAAACTACAGAGTTTCCTATATCTGGTTTCTGAAGAAAGCCCCGGAAAGATTCTTTCCATCTTGAGATGTTCAAGTACTTCTCTTGTCCAAGACATTATACTTTGACTTAATAATTAGTGGTTTTACATAGTTTTTACAAAATAGATTATTTTTTACTATGTAAACCAGGCAAAATAGTATTGGAGTTTAATTTACTGGAGGTATATTAGAAAACAGAATTGATAACACTCATATCACCAGTTAGATTTCAAGCTTTATTGTATTTTAGTTGAGAAAATATTTTTCTTCAAACTCTGATACATAGAGTTGCCGAAGAATTTGGAAAGTGTATGATACCACAGGTATCAGTGAAACTTTGAGTCAAGGAAATCTTGACAGTTTATTGATACTGATCTTAAAACTTTGGCATACAAAAGTAAAATTCTTCCTAAAAACAAAGACTGTTAGCTATCAGAAGAGTGAAACATTACACAAAAATCCTAGAAAATATGTCTGCACATATAAAAGTGATCACTGTTCAAAGTTTCCAGACAAAATGCAAGGTGAAAAATAAGTGATGAATCACTGCCACTGAAATAAAGCCTATTATATCCTTTATTACAATTTGAGAACATGTCCAGAAAAAAAATGCATAAGTTTTTTCATACAAATGTTTTCAAGTAGGATTAAACACTGCACATATCACTTTCCTGTTACTTCTTTAGCAAGCAGAAATGACTGTTTTAGAAGTAGAAGCATTCAATCCAAGTGGAAGACAAGTCCCTCGTGTTCTTCAAAAAAAGCTCTTTGTCTGAATAAAGGAAAAACTGTAATCACTTTGCTCAGTCAAGCCTGTGTATTTAAGACATATTTCTGGACAGGAGCTTTGAAAAATGATCTTTTAAATGTTTGTATGAAACCAAGGTGATCCAAACAAAAAGGCCTTTTTTCTCTATAGACATCTTTTTTCATTTAAAACAGGTCTTCCAGTTCAAGACCTGCAGTGTCAAGGAAAATATGCTGCTGTTGCTCAAACTTCATACACTTAATACTCCCTAGCTGTGAAAACACAACTTTCAGCAGTTCAAACCTACAAACAAAAGAAAAAAAGACTTCCACAAACACCTTTGGGCTCACAAGGATTGCGTCAGAGCTGGCACAAAAGCCTATGCAATGTACAATCCTCTTACGCAATTAACAACCAGCCTAAAAACAACGTCGTCCCTCAAGACGCTCGTTATGGAGATAATACGGCAAGTTTGAAAGTCCTTGTGGATAACATTTTTACTTTGGTTTAGTATCCAGGATCTTTACTATTGCCCTGTTAACCTGTTCATGCTGTGAATGACCAAGGGGGGCTCTCCACTCAGAGAAGGCAGTATCCTCCAATGCACAAACAGCCTTTGCCCTTCCCCTCCTATTCTCAGCAAAGGACAGGGAAGAAGGTCCACAGTACTGACCCCTACAACTAAAACGTATATGCACACATAATCCAGGCCTGTGCGCTCCTTCCCTGCCAGGCAGGTTGCCTTGTTCAGCTGGTGTTAGCAGGACCCTACTGTTAAGCAATTACCACCTCACCCAGATGTTGGGTCAAGGCTTGTTTCTCAGTCCCAGAAGCTAAATTGCTGATGCAATAACAGGAAAAAACAGTTATAAGTTATTTTCAGCAGAGCATGTGACATTCTAGGACCCAGCTACAAAGTACTGAGCAAATTATGCAAGAAATTTCTTCTCATACATGCCCCAAAACCTAAAAATGGCTCCACCTAAGCTATAGCATAGCTTAGGTAGACAGTAAACAGTTCCCCTTTTGCCCTGCACTGGTCCATTTACATCTGTAAAAATTATCTCGTACAATCAGATCTAGACAACCACTGCTAATGACTCAGTGAAGCACCACTACTAATCTGGGACTTATGCCATCATTTTTCAGTCAAGACTGATTAAAGAGATTTGGCAATACTGCAAACATAATTCAGCATCTCTGGCACTGTTTAGAAAACTGTGATCACAGCTTCATATATATTAAGACTGGCTGGCCATCTGCAAAATTTCATGCTGAGGCATCCAAATAATATATATACAGCCAGCCATTTGAACTGTGGGCAAAAAAGATGGGTGGGAAAAGAAGAAGATCCCACATAGTATGATTAAGCAAATACCGCGATCTAGAGAGGCTAGAACTCTAGTATTAAAAATAGACACTGTGCAATATCATCTCAAGTGTTGCACACGTTAATATAAGAATATTTTGGTTTTATAAAACAAGATGAAAACCAAGATCTCTACTGAAAATACAGACAATTTATTTTGATACGTAACACCTTAAAGCAATAATTATTTAAATGGGTTATGAAACTGCAACAATGTTTCTCCCGCAGACTTCCTCCTTCCTTGTGAATTTGCCTGAAATCAGTACTCCAACGACAAGAACAAAACCACATTGCTTCAAGCGCTCTTCTGGCACCAAGAAATAGAAGCAGGATATTAAGTTAATGAAGAGCACAACATTAAAAGCTGTGGCATCAGCAAAGTGAAGGTGCAGACAGCAGCAGATTTTCTGTGACTTTACTAGAGAACTTTCATCTGAAAGCCAGTATCCTGTGCTCTGAATATGGAAATTCAGATAAAGCCGTGAGGTCCAACGGCTGCCAGCAACAGATTTCAGATTCATGCAGAAGGCAGAGAGAAACTCCAGCTCTGACAGGTAGGGACTACTGCTGCTGTGTGGGGCTATGCCTTCATTTGCAAGATTTTCACACAGTTGTCAGCAAATCCTTTTCAGAGGAAAGTAGGCCAGTCATCCTGACAGTGCAAACAAATGATAGTATTGCATTTCCAAAGCCTTCCAATGTGTTGCATGTTCCCATCATCATGCCCACCATCACCACCACATACTCCAGTAAAAGTCATCTTCATAGGGACATAGCAAACGTCCCACTCCATCTTTATGCACCTCCTGTTCTCCAGAGAGGAGATCGCTCCCTTACTACTCATCTTACAAACCTTGCTTATCATGTATGTCATTTCAAGGATTTCCACACTAGCCATTACCGTCAGGAACTCTTTTCTTGAGTGTAAATTCTGCCCTCATTTCCACCCTTGCTAGAACCAAATGCTGAATGTTGCAGGGGAATTCAGCATTCAATAAACGCAATGTTACACGCATCACTACCAAAGTACCACATTCAAATGTGAATGTGGCAGAAGGTCTCTGGGAAAGGGCTTTTTTGAGCATCTGAAGCACGCTGGGCCAGAATATCAGGTCTGGAGAGCATATGGCAGAATTTCTTGTGTCAAAGGTACCAGAACAGGGCATGTGCCTGAAGGGCAACACAGAAAACGTCTTTAGCTGGGCTGTCACAGGAAGAGAAGTGTTATTAACCATGCTGGTATTTTGGTAAATATGAGTACATGCTATATACATAGTCAGGTGCAGTTGCTTTCCTCTCACACAGATTTTCACTAATTCAAACGAATGCCCAAAGCCATATAAAAACCAACAAAACAAAACTACCCAACCATAAAAAAGAAACAAAACTTTATCTTCCTTTTCAACTTTCAGCTACCTCCCCATTACCTTACTCAGCCTCATGCAACATGTCATTTAGAAGAAAACCAGATCAATACCCAGATTACTCCCAACCACATGTAACAAAAAAGGAACACACAAATGTATCCTGATTATATCATCCCGTTTCCCTACCGTTACCCACCTGTGCAATGCATGTAACCCTGTTAACTGAACTTTCTCAACACATGCCCACTCACCTTCTAAAAGTGTCCAACAGCTGTTCCAAAGTAAACAGGGAGGCAGGCCACCAGATGGGGAAGGGGGCTGACCTCCATTTGACAGCCTGGGAAGGCTTAAGCTTCAGTAAAGACAGGAAGCAGCTCTTCAGAGGCAGAGGCTGTCTTCTGCCCTGAACCAACTCTCACGCTGCCTAGTCTAGAAGATAGAGTTGTTTTCTTACTCATGTCACTGTCTTAATTTGGATTCTATAAGAATCAGAAAACTCTTTACATCCTATAGGCCATGGTACTCAGAGCTGACGGGACTACAAGCCAACATGTTAGAAATGCAGCAAAGTTCCAGCTTCAATACACACCAACCAAGAGAAACTCACCTTAAAAAAAATACCCTAATCAAGCATCCAGTCAAAAGTAAAAAGCTGTTAATTAGGGCCACAAGAGAAAAAAACTGGCAAGTATCCTGCAGCTGATGGAAATGGGAAGGATGAGATCACAATGGTGGAATACCAATGACAGGATAACGAGCCATTTCCTCAGTGTCAATGGCT